AAAAAAAAAAAAAAAAAAAAAGTTATGGGAAAATCATGCCAGTTCAACTTGGAAGCGAAACCCACCCTCATGTTCGTCTTAAAACACAGCGAAGTGAAAGGTTTGCTCCTCTTTCACGAGGGTTTTCTTCTTCACAGTTCGCGTCTCGTCACCAGGAGCGAGCCTGGGTCCGCAGCGCTCTTTGGAGGCTGGCGGGGGAGGAGGACTACAGGATCCAGAGGTCTTTGGAAACTCCAGCAGCTCCAAGCTTGTTGGCTACTACGGTTTCCCTGAGGAGTGACGCTGCGAAAACAAACCCTGATTGGTCAGGCCTGAGCTAAGTTCTCCATTTATGGACAGATTGTCCGGCCCGAGCCGAGACTCAGCCAGAGGAGTACGGATTAAGTGGCCGAAGAAAGAGGAGCGAGGCAGTGGAGCGAGGCGGAGTCGCCGAGCGCATCGGACTCACCTGGGCGCGCGGCGAGCGGCGGGTCCCAGCGGACTCCTGTCTTCCGCAGCATGCCCCCCGCCTGCTAAGTCGCCGCGGTCTCGCCCTCACCTAGCGCCGCGGATCCCGCCTGGATGGAGTCCCCTCTGGGTTCCCATTGGCTCCTGTGAGTGCTTGGGTGTCGGGAGACTGCTTTTGGCGAGGGGAAGCAACTTTTGAAGTTCGCCCAGGAGACTGCGTTCCAGCCCCAGCTCCCCGGCAGCGGGACCCGGCGGAGGCGCGACCGCGGTGCGAGTCACCATGGTGAGTTGGCCGCGCAGCGTCCCAGGACGCCGGACCCGGGGACCGGGCAGGAAGCTCCGGCGCGGGGGCACCCACCTTGGGCACGCTGCCCGGGGCACGGGTGGAGAAGGTGGACGCGGGAGCCGGCACGTCGCGAGCTCTGATTTCCTGTCTCTTTCTGTAAACCCGGGCCGGGGGACAGCGAGCGAGGCGCGGAGGAAAACTTTATTCCAGGTCGCTCTCTGCGTAGCGAAACTTTCTGTGGCCGGGTTGCTATGGCTGTCAGCTGTCGGAAGCCAGGGTGTGGGCGCATCGGCTGCGGGGGGCACGGCGCGGGAGGGAATCCCCTCCTCCTGCTGGGACGCGAGGGGCACCACCGGCAGCGGAGGTGCTCCGGCACTCGCGCGGCAGTAGCTGGTGGCGCCCCCTGCCCTCCCCGCGGCCGTGCCCGCCCCGCCTCGCTTCGCCTCGCCCCGCCTCGCCTGCCGCGGACACCCTCGCGGCGACTCCCTCTCCTCCTCGCCGCCGCTCCGCCGCCCGGCAGCGCCCGCAGCTGTCCCGCCTGGCAGCGGCACGCGGGCGGGGGCGGTCCCCGGCCTGCCCTGGCGAGGGGCGGTGCAGGCCGCACAAAGGCAGGCGGGGACGCCAGGTAGGATGAACACCTGGCGGCGGGCGGGCTGTCGAGAGCCTGGGCGACTCGGGCGTGGGCGGCGGCCACTCCGACCCGGACCTGTGCCGGGCACCGGCCCCGAGGGTCTCCGCGCCCCGGACGCCCAATAAACACTTCCCGAAGAGGACCTCACCTCTTCCTGAGGGCTAGGGGACCGGGGCTTTTCAGGGGTCCAGGGGACGCTTCGCACAGGAAGCCGCCCTCGCGAGTTTCTTGTTTGTTGCTCTTTTCCCTTTGGCACTTTGGGAATGTGTGGAAGTGACCCTTTGACGTGAGACTTTGCTGCTCTTCAACTCCCCTGCCCAGCTACATGCCCGTCCCTCCTTGTATAACCTTAGCCACCTCCCTTGGGCTTTGGCGTGGTGTAATTTTCTTTCCCGGGCACAAAAGCAAGGACTCTATTTTGAAGAGATCCGCAGTTCATAAAGAAAAAAAAAATCGATTACAAGGCTTCATAGTTTCCATACTGCTTCTTTTCAAATAGTCCTGCTTAGGTGGATGATCTTGTTCTCTTTTGGTTTGCTGTTGTTTTCTAATGGCTGTGGAAGAAAAGCCAAGTCAAAATGATAGCCAGCGCAACACTAATTTTAAAAAGTCGATATCCCGATGAGCAGCCTGGGGGAGGTGCAGCAGAGGCCCATTGGAACCTGCACGCCAAGCTTAGAAGCCCCCTTACTGGTGCTGTTTATTGGAGGAATGATTACAACCATCAACGAGAAACCTTTCATCTTCTGTCAAAGCCTTTTTTTCTTTTTTAACATCATCCAAAATTAAGTCACTTTTTCCCCATCTAAGAGAAGATTTTATCTATAAATTTCCTCTTCCAGTTTTAAGGTTTAAGAAGTCAGTCTACTCCACGTTACTTTTGGACCCCTCCCCTTATCCCAGCAGAGAACCATTCCCATGGGGCATGTGTTCTGGTGAAGCTGCCTTGCTGGGCACCTGGTCTCTTGAACCGAAGCAGTGTAAGAATCCTGGTACTTGAGAACTGCTGTAACTATTTTCCATGGGTCAATATTAAAAAAAAAAAAAAATCAATATGTTTATGTCAAGAGCTTAAAGAATCTTACTGAATTTAAATACTTGAGTGGTACTTTGAGGAAATTAACTTCCTGTCAGTTAAACTCATTTTTCATGCGAATGGACTGAAGTGTAGTGTAGGTTGCCTTTTCTGAAACCTGCGACATCATGCTCAGTTCAGCCCCACTGCACATGAAGTAGATAGGTGGTGAAATGGATGCAGAGAAGGCATGCTTTGGGAAGAGATGGTTCTATCCGAGGACAGGGTGTGACTTACCTATTGATGGGCTCCCTGCCATCTGCACAGATGGGCATGTTGTGTGCCGCCAGGCGGCTATCTGCATCAGATACGCTTGCTGAGGTCACAATTCACTGACAGAAAAGTTGAAACAGCTGGCTGTCCTGAAATAGGAGATGTGCCATTGATCTACTGGATCCAGAGTGATTTGGCCAAAGTTAATCATTTCTTTCTGGACTTGAAAAATTGTTCATTAGGTATGTGAAGTTGCCTTAGAATAGAGGATCATCGTAAATAATAAGAAACTCAAGTTACAAAATTTAATGTTTATGTAAGATTCTGTCAAGCCAAATGACACTTCATTTTGTGTTCCACATCTGCCCAGGCCTGCCCAAGTCGTATCCCTTCAGCTGCTTAGAACAGGAAGGGAAAGGACATTACCTTCTTTGGGTGTGGCTGAAGATTAGCATGGAGACTAAAATTCGTCAGAAGGCCTTTGGTGGCCCAGTGCAGTGGCTCACGCCTGTAATCCCAGCACTTTGGAAGGCCAAGGCAGGAGGATCACTTGAGCTCAGGAGTTCAAGACAATTCTGGGTAACATAGTGAGAGACCCTGTTTCAATTAAAAAATTAGAAGAAGAAGAAAAAGAATACCCTTGACTGGGCTGTAGGGAAAGCACCTATACTGTGGACTTCCATGTGAGTGAGAGTGTCTGTGTGTGTGTGTGTGTGTGTGTGTGTGTGTGTGTCTTTTAGGAAGTCTGGTAGCATAGTAGGAGGGCTTTCCACCTGTACCCAAGGTCCTACTAAGACTCATTCAGTTGTGACTCATAAGGAAAATTGCCCTTTACATTTTCTGACTCATGAACACAGTGTACAGCTTGTAGTTCACCTTCTATCTTCCTCCTGAAGACTTACTTTGGGACACTTTTCTATCATGGGAAAACTAAGAACTTTACCAGGAAATAGTTATTTCTGTCTTTTTCCTTAGGAGACTTGAAGAAGCTTAAAAAAAAAAAAAAAACCCTGCACATCTTTATAATTTAGTGTAGTTTGTTCAGCAGAGCACAAAAAAGATCTCTGTTGACTTTAATCTAATACACATCTAAGGCTTCCTTCGTAGAATTTGGGCTTACCATCATCTGCAAAGCAGATTCTGCTTTCGTGGCCATGACCAGTTTGTAGTCTCTAATAGACCGACACCCATGGCTATAAACCTGCTACATACTTCGGATCCAGAAATTGCGATTCATTTTAATGCAGAGTTTCTGTGCATTAAATATACAGCAATATTTGAGCAGATCTGAATTGACCATCACCTCAGAAACATGTTCAAGATCTGTCCCCTTTTCCTTACTTGCATATGCTTGTGAGTAAATTGTAGATAGGACACATAAAAATACCCAGGAGTAGACTTACAACCTAGAAATCTGATGGATAGCCGACGGTAAGGTAGGTAAGTTCCTTTAGGTGATGACATAGCATGTATTTAGAAAGTCTGGAGTGCATTTCAAATGTTTTCTGGGAAAGTAACCCACTTTATTTCTACTGATTAGTTTATCAGATTGCTAGGCGTCTCCTAGCCAAAACAACACAATACAGCAAAACAAAACCGGAAAGAAATGGAATCAAGCACATAAAAAGTTTTGATGGAGGCAAAGGGTTAGGGAAATACCTATAGTCCGGGACATTATCTAGGGACAAGTGTGGGTGGGACATCCTAGGGGGAAATATTTGACTGCCCAGCCATTTCCCTGGAGAGAAACCGAGTGGGGCAGTGGATGGAGAGGGATGGAGAATTGTAAGAAGCAGACATTTACTGAACTTGAAAGTCCCCTCCTCTACACTTTTGCTGAGGACTACAGCTTTGTCAGCGGTTGCAAACTCAAATGTCATAATTTGGTAGAGGGAGGCTGGCCTCTAGAGAGTAAATATGGAACACATACCCCATGCAAGGAGGCACCACTATTTGATCCTAGATCATGGTTACATTGACCATATTGCCAAATCATTTTGTTTTTCAAGAGAAGCTGGAAATTTAGATTTTTATGCTATATCTGCCAGTTCTTATGTTTATTTATTTATTTTGAGACAGAGTTTCCCTCTTGTCACTCAGCCTGGAGTGCAGTGACAAGATCTCGGCTCACTTCAACCTCTGCCTCTTAGGTTCAAGCAGTTCTCCTGCACAGCCTCCTGAGTAGCTGGGATTATAAGCACCCACCACCACGCCTGGCTGATTTTTGTATTTTTAGTAGAGATGGTGTTTTACCATGTCGGCCAGGTTGGTCTCAAACTCCTGACCTCAGGTGATCCACCCACCTTAGCCTCCCAAAGTCCTGGGATGATAGGCATTAACCACCATGCCTGGCTTCTGCCAATTTTTATATGTATTTAATCATCTCAAGGACCAAACACGTCAGCAGGTTAGCTGTTTGCAGCCACTTTATTGTTAGTTTTAATGTGGTGTCCCTCTGTGAACCACAGTGCTTCTCCCATTCAGTCACCAGCAAGAACGTCTGAACATTCACTACATACCCAGTAGTGGCATTTGATTTTTACTGATACGTCCACACCTTCCTACCAGGTCTCCCTAAAGAGAGGGAGTTGCCTGGTATTTTCAGCGCTTGCAATCTCTAAGCTACTAAAACAGGGAAAATGTGCATCCAGCTGCTACTATTTAGAGCTTTCTAAACACCAGGGTAGGTTGGGTCCACCAGTGGTGTGGCTGCAAATTGAGCTTTTCTCTTTCTTACCCTTCAATCCCGTCCTCCACTGAAAATGCCATGGCCTTCAATGTCACATGACAGACTTTTTTTTTTTCCCCCACTCCTTTCTCAATTGAATCTCATGAATTTGAGGTCTGTTTCAGGAGTTATCCCTAGGGTTAGATAATGAGCAGCGGGAGGATTCTGAATAACTTGGAATCCAACAGTTTGCTTCTGTGCCTAGTGTTGGCATGTCATGAGCTTCTGTGAGACTCAGTGAAAGATAACATATAGTGCCTTGCTTTTTCCTGATGAGATAGATACGGGGCCTTATTATTTGTTAGGAATTTGAGAAAGCTTTTTATCTGCTTCAAAAACAGACATATTTT